CACGTGGGCGGACCGGCTTGCGTTTTACCCCCAGCACTTCTTAACTGCGGGCCTTCCTCTGGGTGGTACTGCTTCTAAACTGCAAAATGAAACTCATTGTCCACTGTCACAATTAGTTATCAAGCGCCATATACCTATGCCAGAAACAACTATCCCTTCACGAGTGTAGCAGCAGGTTCAGTCTCGTGACATCGCACTGCTTCAGTTTTTTACTGCTCGTAACCTAAGAGAGATAAACAACTGCTTTTATTTAAAATCTCAAGTTTTAAAAATTTTCAGGCAGGCCAAAATGAAGAAATAACTAAGCATAAAGAGGAATTTGTCACATGCTTCCCATGTGCATGTGTAATACTGATTTTTCTCAGCTGAGTTATTTGAAAATTTAATCAAATTTTACAAGCCATTGAAGAATGATATCTGCAGCCTTTCTATGACAAAGGTTTTCGTTGTCCAAATACAGCATACAAAATATTGTTACTGAGTAGCTGCCATTTACAAGCCTAATATAACTAGCGAAAGGGCAACTGCTTTTGTGAAACACAAAACTTCCTCCAAGACTGCACGTGATTTATGAGAGTATCACATTCAAATTATAATCACTGCACTTCTCTAAATTGAAAGTTGCGCCTCACCAAGGCAAAATTCATCCCTTATCTCTGGGAACATAAAAAAAACTTACACTATCTGAGCTCCTGTACACTACTTCATGAGACAAGATTAAATCATCATAGTCCTATAGTTCACAAAGACCTACTGTTCTATATTTAAATACCAATTAATTAATAGCTGACTTTTATCAAGTTAATTACTTGATTTTTAATCAGCTAAAGTCTATTTCTAAAGTTGCCTTCCTTCTTGATAGAGTTAAAAAAAAAAAAAAAAAAACCTGCAAGATTATTAGTTCAATGTGTGTTCAGTTCTCAGGGAAACGCTTTATAACAAAAGAATTTGACGTACCTCTGGCCTTACTGGGTCTTCAATGCCAACAACACAAATGCAAGTCAGGTCAGATAAAATGTCATTTTCATTATCCCAGTCAGGTTCGGGACTGCTGCTGAAGTCTCGGAAAGCAACACAGATAGTCCTCAGTCCATCGCAGGCCATGGGTTCAATCACTTTCTTCACCATTTCATCACGGTCACGTGGTCTGAAGATACGAGGTTCACCAGCTGCATTAAGGATCCTGGAACACCTTTTTTTGGTTAAAAATAAAAAATAAAAAATCCCAGGTATATCTTAGTGCTGTCAGATTATTCTGCATTGTTAAAATATGGGGAAAACACAGCAAGAAATCCATTCAACTTACTTCTTCAGAACAATTTCAGAAGCTCCTTTGCTGTACATTCGGAAACTACCATCTGGCATTTTAATGACAGTACTCATTGACTTTCGCACAGAGTTGAAAGTGTAAACTTTATAGAGCTTCTCCTCAGGAATTAGGCTCCGAACAGGCTCATAATCCTGCTTCAAATCCAGGACAAACCCCAAGAGGCCACACTCTGTCTTATTGCCTACCTGGCGAGGCAGCCCACCCTCTTTTTCTGGTGGCTGAAGAAAAGAAAAAAATAGATGTGAACTCCTTTCACGATTAGCAGTGTGTAATGCCTTCGGCCCAATTAATGACAAAGTTACAGTGTAAAGTTTGAGATTTAAAACCCTAACTGCACAGTCGCGTGTCTCTTCCAATTTTAAAAACTAGCAAATATCTCATAGAGCTATACCTGAATGGAAGCAGCTATTCTCATAATGAGGAAAAATTTTTCTAGTTAAATAAATACATTTAGTCTCTTTTTTCTTTTAAATTAGCCACAGACAATTGAAGCGCTTGTGGTGGTTAGGCAATGAATCATTAAAAATAAAGTCGTTATTTTTTAGGCTCAATATAATTAATTCTCATTTGTCACAAACAGAATATTTCCTTTTATCATTTGCTTAGAACTGTATTACTTTGCTAATTTTCATGGGTATAACGGTCAATTAAAGGAAGATCTGTCCTTTTTTCCCCACCAGGCAGTTTATATTTAAAAATGAATCTGCATCGAATAATAACAGTAAATTTCCATTAAAAAGGAATCTATAAAATAACAGTTCTATATCTAAAAGTACCTATTAATAATTCTCAGCACTTCAAGGGAAAAGGAAAGTTTGTGTTCAAAATATGAAAAAAAAAGTTTCATTTGCAAACTGCATCAGCCAACAGTTCCTGTGCTGTGGAGATTCCAAACAATCTGAAGAGATGTGGGTGTGAGCTACTGACTGCTGATGACCTTCAGTTTTCTTGCACTCGGTAGAATTAGGAAAGTGTTTGCTTAAGCTAAATAGGCTAAAACTAAACCTACAGGAACCACGAGAAAATCACACCACTGAAAATAGATTTTGATTTGGCTCCAGAAAGCACTAAGTCATCAGTTTCAATGTGACTTAAACATTTGCCTCATGTCCTGCAGAACTAGGCCTGCAATACTATATTCAGAATTATGGCCATGTTCAAATTCACTGTCGGCTTTTAGAAGCCAGTATACTTCGGAAATAGCCGAGGGATGAAGGGTAACGTAGGGAATGATGAGTTAAAATTGCAAATCAGTAATCCTATTTAGATTTCAAGTCTTGCAACAAGTGCTGCCACAAAAAGGGGAAAAGTAGGACTTTCAGGAAGTGTAAGTAAGTAAGTAAGTAAGTATTTACAGAGAACCACCAATTGCAGCAGGTTTAAAAATGAAGGGCAGGTAGAAAAGAACAGACTGACCTAGAACTGAAGTAAGCAAAAAACCCAGATTTTCCATAAGAATCATCTTTCTATCACCAGAAGTATTTTCGGTATATATTTTAAATTGATTTCTTTTTCTGGGAGAGATGTGTGTATGGTGAGCAATATACCATAATCTAAAAATCTCTGTCTCGAAGAGATTTCTTCTTCCAAAAATAATTGCAGCATCTCTAGCTACTACATGAACCATCATTTTTACTGAGTTATGAGAGTCACTTTTTGGGTTGCTGTGATATTTTAGCATTACTTGGGTTTCAATGTTTTACATTGACACTCAGAAAATATAGTAATATGCTATAGTAATTTTATTATGTGCTGTAATAATTTTGCCCTGCTATAATTTTACTCTCCCCTGTTGTAAATTCCCCTCAGATTCTAAAATTCACTTAAGAAACCCTGATTACCCAAGAGCTGGTGGCCATGCCTATCTGGAAGGAGTCAGCTGAGAGAGGCTGATTTCTCTGTGCGCATGATGTGCAACGCTCTTTCCATTTTAACTCTAAATCCTCATTTACGTTTTGGCTATCTTTCCCGCTGAAATCAGTGAATCTTGACATTGACATAAAAGTAAATAAGATAGGTGACTAGCAAACACACACTGGAAATCAATGCAAAACACGTAGATTTCTTTCCACTGCAGACAAAAACAAACCCAGATAATGCTTAATTTATACCTATGTTTTCACCATAACCAGCTATGAATGGATATTGAGAAAATACAAATCTAGCTACACTTCATAGTATATAAAAATGAATATCAAAGTTTTTCTAAAATTATTTTTATTTCACCAGAAAGGAGAGCTCAGTTTGCACTTCTTACAGTGGTCTAAAAATAGATTTCTATTTAACATATCCTACGTAAGCAAAGGAGAAAAAATGCCAGTGAAAAGAAAATGAACAGACATTTCAGAAAGGTTTCAAAATCTGCTAACAAGTGGCCACCTCCCTCTAGAGCAGCTGCTGTCTCCGTTTTCTTTGTACGTTACATTAACATAAAGCATATGGTGGTGAGAGCTGGCAAATACCACTTCCTTTCCTGTACTGTTTCAGCTCAAAATCTATATGCCAAAAGCAGTCTCATTGCAGATTGTTCTTGACAATCCTTTGCAGAAGCTGCTGGATGTTAAAACTTCATACTGTGCTGTATCTAAATTTATTTCTTGCTGAAATCTGCAGTTTATGGCACCTGCAACACAATTAAAAGGACAGGACAAAGGGACTACTTGTGAGTAATTAACAAGGAACTATTTCTCATTGAGTGAGAAAAGGAAACTCCTTGGACACCATAAGAGAGAACGCATTTGAACAGTGATTTGCAAACAGAAACTTAGTCTTTTTGAACGCTGAACTCAGTGAAAGAGCTTTTACTAGTCGCAAGTCAGCTGCACGTTGTAAAATCTTGTGCTGGGAAGAGATCAATCAAATACGTTCTTCCAATAATCACTTTTCACTAATTCTTATAAGAAGGATTTCAAATGCTTCTTCTAAGTCTTTAAATTATTTACATAATAATAATAATATTCTAACTGTAATCAAATCCTTATATGTAAAACAAAGTGCAGATATATGTTAAAAATATAGTTGTCACAACTATCAAACCAAAACTGGGTCAAAGTACAGCTGTATTATAAAGGCTTAAAAATAGCAACCCAAAAGCTAGTATTGACGCATTACTGAATTCGGATTACAAAAGGAATCTTCAAAATTATTTCACTGAAAAATAACTGACTAATAAAGGTGGGTTAAAAAGGGAGAAAGATGAAACATTCTGCGCATGCCTCAACTCAACTTCCACTTTTCAACTTTCCACTTTTTTGGGGTTAACTTTTTTGATTCCAAATTCAAATGTTAGGATTTCATGCATTTTATGAAGTCTTCACTTGTTTCATCTTATGCTTCCGTGTTCTGCACAGACTGAACTGTTCCTTTAGAATAATGATGATTACAAATATATCAATTTCTTAAGCTAAGAAATTAATTTTGCCAGAATGTTATATCCATGTTGAATATTCTATTTCAGCTCTGTTCGCAAAAGGCAAACACACAGAGGAAAATGCAGTTTTAAAATTAAATTATGAATAATTTCCATGCTATATTTTATTTCCTCTGAAAAGAAAAAATGGGCCAGGAGGTGCAGGATTTTTCTCTTTGTGGTTAAGCGTTATATATGCAGACTTTAAGATAACTGAGAAGGAATAATGCTGGTAAAGCTATGTGATATTTTTACTTCTGAATTTCAAATATCGTATAAAGGACAACTATTAATAACAAACTATAACACTATAAAACATAGCGATGTTCTCTCTTGCTACACAATTTGAGTCAATGGTTTGATAGAAGACATCTAAAAAAGATTTAAGACAAACTATATCTAGAATCAAAACTATCAGCTTTTTGTAGATGAAGGTTTATTCAACTGATTTCAAGCTGCACCAGAATAGATTTAGAGACAACTGTTTATCTTATACAGGAAAAAAAACTTAAAAAAGAAAAGAGAACATTCATTTTAGCCAAGGATAAGAACCTAAACCTTTGCTTGACTAAATTAAGTTTTAATTATAAAACAGGAAACAAAGTTACAATATACATGCTGAAAATAAGAAAGCACTAATAGTAGGCATCAGCTGTTCTGGTTTTTGCTTACTGTTTCTCTGGGACTTCTGTTCACTGTAAAAGTTCAACAACAGGACTCTGGTTCTGCTCTCTTTCATAGTATGACCGCTACCAGAAATCCCTCACCCCAGCTACAATCTGGATTCTGGATGCCAGACACTGCAAGTGAATTCCCTTTATCCCTTCTTTCCTTTTTTACTATTTTTATTCAAGAAATACTTTTTTTTTTTTCTAGCTGTAGTATCTCTGGATAACTACATAAGAACCATAGCCACGCCTAGGAATGCATAAGAAATGCTGTTAAAGCTCGTCTGGAAATGCAGAGATTGTTTCACAAATTTTATTTCACTTCTATTTATTGTTTAGAAAGCTAACTTAATTATTTTTTCTGACTTTTCTCTTCCCAAATAATGCAATCTAAACAGTGGAACTTTTCTTTAGTTTTATGGAACTTCTGTATACATTATACTTTAGTTACGCGCTCACTACGTAACATGCTGCTGGCTTTCCAGGCAGACCACGACTGAAATATTAATTATACACATGAATAAGATAGTGCTAATTAAGCAAACTGCAACTTTTTTTTTTTTGAGTTCTTGAAATATGCTTTTATAGATTAAAAAACAAAGAAACAAACACAAAAACAGAGCATCCTAAAGAGATAAGGTTTCACTAAAAATAGCTGGCATCAGCTTATACTATTAAAATGTCATGAGTTTATTTTGTAAGGTCATAATTAAGGAAAAAAATCTCTACATCTTGAGTGGGTTCTGATTTTGGCTACTCTTGAGGACAAGCGTGGAAGAATATTTAATAATAATTAATATCCCATTAATTATGGAATAATAATATTACAATAAGACTTGTTCAATGAGGGAGATCACAATTTGTCCCTAGACTGTTTAAAATTTTAAGTAGTTTTTCACATTAATGGTGTGTGACAAGTGCCTCTGTTTTATACAGAGCACAGAAAGCAACACGTTAAATTACAGATAAAGCTCACTGATAATATAATATACTTGCCATTTTATAACTCCAAATTATCATTGCAAGATACAATTTTGAAATTCTGTTTAAGTCAAAAGTCAGTTTGAAAGGCAGTCAGCATAAAGGATTGAAAAAGAACAGTTAAATTCTTGGAGCTGGTTGCGTAATTATTTTGGCGTCA